TGTGTGTTAAATATTAGCGGTCCCCCTCACATCACATTGTGATATATATATATTATCCACTCTTTCCAAACAGCATACGCAGGAAAGTTAATCAATGGACAAATGATTGTTTATTCTGCATTCAAAAAGGATCTAAATGTATTTACCAAAAAAAAAAAAAAAAAAAAAAGATCTAAATGTAGGGTTAATTAATGATTTGAATTTAGTTTACAGCAAAAAAAAAAAAAAAATTGAATTTAGAAAGCTAGCGCTAGCAGACATTTGGTATCCTCATTCTTAATTCTAAATTTTGTTTCCATCCACGTTACATGTTTGTGGTTCTGATCTAAATAAATATAAAGAATCAAATTTTCTTTTTAACATAAAGATAACTAGAGGAACATATCATGAGGTACCTGCAGCACTACAAGTTGGAGTATCGCCGCACTTATAGCCCAACATATTCTCATGAACTAATTAAGTTTTTCAACCGTGTTAGTGGAAGATTTACAAATAATTTTATGTCAAACATGTTGTTTCATGTAAGAATCTTTTCAACTTAAAGAATAAAGAATATGTAAGTTCACCTACTTTATGTTAAAAAAATAATAATTAAAAGAGTGAGAGCATTAATTGTTGAAAATAATCAAGTATGAGTTGTAAAGAAGTACCACATAGACTAGACATAGACCAAGATATGACCATATAAGTGTGAAAGACCCATAAACCTGCAGCCTTAAGGTTTTGGTTTAAGATGTGGTGTCGGCCCACTTATTATGGTTTGTCATTTGACCCATTGGTGGATGTACCCTTTGCAAAGGGTTTTGGGCTCCCTCGTTGCATTCCCAACAGTGGTATCAGAGCCAATGATCTGGGCTGGGCCAAGTGTGTTTGGAAGGCCTTTGCAGAAGGCTAGTGTGACCCTAATATTTGAAGAGAAAAAAAGACTTCCGCAGAAGTTGACCTTAGAGTAAGAATGATATTGGGTCTCACACTTGAGGGAGGATGTTGAAAATAATCAAGTATGAGTTGTAAAGAAGTACCACATAGACTAGACATAGACCAAGTGATGACCATATAAGTGTGAAAGACCCATAAACCTGCAGCCTTAAGGTTTTGGGTTAAGATGTGGTGTCGGCCCACTTATTATGGTTTGTCATTTGGCCCATTGGTGGATGTACCCTTTGCAAAGGGTTTTGGACTCCCTCGTTGCATTCCCAACATTAATAACTACACTCTAAACTACATAATTATTGAGGTTTTAATCTAATGTCCAAAACCAATTCATCTAAAAGCATAAATTAATAGATAAACGCTTTGAATAACTTTATATCATGCAAAAATAACTAAATAACTAATTGCTACTAATGATCATATTGACTATTCATTTTTCTAGGGATATCTATATATATAGGAGATAATCCACACTAAAGGGGGAAAAGTGCGTTCCGTAATATTTTATTCCCATGTTTTTGTATTTATTAGTATTACTGTTGCAAATGGAGGGGTCAATTCTTATTTTCCTTATTTAATTGGGTAAAATTTGGGTCGCCTAAAACCATTCACAACTTGATAGTTAATTACGTGTGTAATTGCTATATGCATACATGATACATCCACTATCATTTAACAACTTGCAAATTTCATGGCTAAACAAGACTCTTATGAAAACGACTCGTTGAAGGTGCATTCCACTTTCCTTTTAGTAGCCGCAGTTGCTTTTTATTTTATTTTCTGATGTGCCGACAAAAAAAATCCACCATATATCTAAGTATCTGACTACGTACAATTTCCTCCACCATTTCACTTCCCACTTATCTTCCACTTCAAAGACTCTCACTTGTATAGTGGGAGTCACATAATTGACTTAATACAATTGTAGATAACCCACGTTACTTATTTCTCTTAACTAGTTAAAGTTATCAATGCATTTTGTACAAATGAAATTCCTTTGTTCAATTGTTCTCATGAAAACGAGAAAAAGTGGGAATCAAAGTGTTGAAGAAAACAATTGAGAAAATTGATTACACTGTCTGCGAAATGCCAACCAGCAGCAGTTTCGAAAATCAAGTTGACGCACGGCCAATTATAACCTTTACATATGTGTTAAACAATTTTCAATCAGTTATGCGTTGAAAAACATGGCAAGAGCAGTGGCGGATCCAGGATATTTTTTTTATGTCTGTACATTTAGGATAAGGGTTCGGAGGCGTTGGCCCTGATTTTTTTTTTAAGATCATGATCATGATCCAAGTTTTGCTTCCACTTTAAAAGTAAAGCTTTGGTGAATCAACCAAAGTTTTAAGAAAATAATAGATAACGATAATTAAAAAAAAATAAACACCACAAAAAGACATTTGTAAATATAGTAATTGTTGGAGTTAATCGATTAAAAACTCACATTTGTCAATGTCTATTTGATTCAAAGTTGACCATTTTTGTTTCACAAAAAAACGTGAAAAATCCCGTGCAATTCTTCTCTATTTGATGAAGATTGAATTTCAGGAATGTTGATGTTTATTAAGATTTGGAGCTAATGAGGTTTATAAAAAAAAAAGAGACAAAGCAATGGCTAGAGTTTAAGCTTTAAGCTTTTTAATTGTAGGGGTTGATTGGGTTGGACATATTTTTATCTTTTTCCTTTAATCTTCCTTTTTTTTTTTCACTTGACTTAAATCACCTACCCCATGTGAATTCTTTTTTTTCTCCAATTTTGTGTCTGGAAGTGCACAAACGCACCCACCTACGTCCGCCATTGGCCAAGAGCACGAGGGTAAGTTAAAAGAAAATTAGAGAGTTAAATTTAGACTAAGTTTTTTCTTTTTCCGTTGTTAGTTTCTGGGTGGAAAAGAACGTATTATCAAGAAAAATCGTTGTCATATGTTTCAATATGCAGCAGTATAAGATTACTCATCATGTATATTTAGTACGATTATTACGACTTTATATAAATTAAAAGTCAAAATATAATATTTTACCACAAAAGAGTCAATTACAAGATTAATAAAAAAAAACTTAAAATATAATATAAAAAAAACTATATTTGAAATATGTGTAGTCTCTATAGGAATAGTGACATACATTAAAAATGTGTAGGCTCTACTAAATGTAAGTGTATTATCCTAACTCAATATTGAGCAATATAATTGCAAAAAGAAAAACAGTAGAGGCAACTCTATTGATTTGTAACAGTTAGAGAAATGTAAAATTATTATTGTAATTTCATATTAGATGTGATTTTTTTTTTTTAGTACAATATTAGATGTGATTCTTACATGACATTGCAATTTTAGTATACTATGAGTTAAATTGCAGGTGAACAGGCCCAAGAATATGAGAAATTACCCACTATGGTGTCTTGATTAGTGAATGGCAATTTTGTGATTTTTTTTACACTTTTTGTCATGTCATCACAGGAAAAAAGGCCATGTAGACATATTGCTGGATAAAGTGAATTCTGAAGCGTTGGATGTAGATGATCTGATGACAGTATCAATATGGAGCTTGGGCAGTTTAGCTTTTAATTAGGACTTTGAGTTTAGTTGGAGGCACTTTTAGTTTAGTTTAAGTTTTCTGAGTTTTTTTGTAAGCAACACGTAGATAAAGAGTTCTTGGAGGAATCTAAGAAACTTTAAAAATCTGTATTTCTGTTAAGCTTTTATAATTCTGAACACTTGTATTCGAATTTATGGTATGTACTTTTTAACTCTTCTACATTCGAACTTGGTATTATGCAACGTCAATGTATTTTTAGTTTTTGAGTTTATCTTTTGAAGCTTATGCCATCATGAATTTCTAAGTCTTTTTCGGAAATTTGGATGAATTGGTAAATAATTGGTAAACACCCATTAGTTAGAATTACTTGTTAAGCTCGTTTAATTTCTTGATGTTCAATTAACAATTCTCTTGTATTCGAAGGTGATGGATATTATCTTGAAATTGTCATTAATTGAATCTTATTGGAAAACTAAGATGATGCATTGCTCTTATTAATTGGATGCTATAGAATTAGGAATAATTTGAAGTGAAGGAAAGATTTTATTTGAAATGAATTGGGTTTGATATCCAGGAACAGAATTGAATCTGATTTATTATTGGTTTGAAAAATCCCAGAAAGCGTTATAGCACTCAACCTTCATCAAAAAAAGTGCTGCTGCAAGTTAAAATGCAAGAATAGTCCAGGCACCAAAATTATTAAAAATACCATAAAAAAAAAAAACATATTTGAAAGTGAATCACAGTTCAAAAGGAAGCACCAAAATTACATGCGTGGGAATAGTCCAGGCTTCCTCACCCTTTCCAGTAATGATAATAATAGTAACCGTGGAAAAATAATGAAATAATATAAATAACTAATGATAATAACAGATATTCAAGGCATGTTATATAATACTTCCAAATACTTTTCGAAAAACAAATTCAAGGAAGTGAAAAAAATTCTGAAAATAATACTATATATAAAAAATATAAAAAAAAAAGGTGGAGGTTGCAAGAAAAACAATGTCAAAATAAGCCCATTGGAAATCACGCATTGACCACTTTGTTAATTTACCCATACAACAAATATCTCATTCGTACTCCGTGAAACATTTTTGGGTTGATACGAAGACCCTGAACTCAGTTTAAATATGATCAAATGAATCTTGTTGGGTCGAACTAGACTAACAACTCTTGGCTAACATCTTTAGTCTCATGTATTGTATACTTAGGTAGCTCTTGTCATGGGAAACATCCCAAGCTTTTGGTTTTATTGAACTCAGTTTTTTTCAAATATTTTGGCTTATATAATCGATAATATATATTGAAGCTCGATGGAATTTTTATGATTGCATAGTGGGGGGGCAAAAGTGATACCTGCAAACCCAAACATTGTTAATTAAGACTGTTGAGATATATAGTCCTACATTGGTTGTATGGACAACTAATGTAACATTTATAAGACCTTGGGCACTTCCACCCTTTGAGCTAGCTTTTGGGGTGGTGTATCCCAAAGTTTTTTACAAAGACCAACCACAACTCCACAAGTGATAAGAGGAAATTTAAAGTTGAAACTTATCACCTATTATTAAGAGAGGGAATTGGATGAAAAACGATACCTGATTTGATTCATTAACTTGACTAATACAAGTCAATATGGTAGGAGGCTATACTACCATTGAGCTTAATTAGCCATATATACTAACACACTTATAACAACTTACTGACTATAAAAGGAAATTAAGGGGTGCTAAAATTTCCCACTAACTTGCGAAGGTTGATTCTCCACCTCAAGTTTGGAAAGTACGTAGATGTTTGTGATCTCTCCATCAATATCTTCCACAAATTATTAAGTCTGAAAGTTCTAAAACTAGTTTATTATACCCATAAAACATATACATGCAGCTACAAGAGAACACACTTTGATGTGTAGTATTCATGTTGGTGCAGGGTGCTAGCTCGTTAACAGTGTTTGGTATATATGCTAGTATAGGTGCCAGGCTTTGCCACCTTTCATGTTGAATTTCTTTAGCCTCCCAAACAACATGGCCAAAATAAGGATGAACTTGCCCTTGATACTCCACCTGCCCGAAAATCCAACCCATGCATCTTTACACTTGCCATTGGGTTTCAATTGCCTTGCACAACTGCATCCCGTTGTTAACCCAACATTCCCATACGCACTACATAATGTATCAAAAAGTTTAATAGTTAGCATTTAAGTTAATCATGCCTGTTTGTTTGTTTGTTCAAGTGCTTTCTAATTATACAAATAGGGGAAGAATCTATACTATTTTTACAAGTTATCTGACCGGTAATATAGTGACCGGTCATACACTCTTGATTGAAGTATTACCGGTCAGACATAATATAGTTTGTAAGAATTTATAAACAAAAAATTTGTAAATATAATTTTTCCCATACAAATATTTAAAAAATTAATAATAATTAGAAAAAATTTAAAAAAAGTACAGATTCAAAAAAAAAAAAAAAAAAACTCTAGAAAATGTTATATCATAAAAGCAGTTTTTTTTTTTAGCTGAAAGAAATGCACTCTTGATGCTTTGATGTAAAAGTTATAATGTTTTTTTTTTTTTTTGGTACATTGCCAGGAGGTATACCCATTCAACCTTCTCCGGGCACCATGCCCTCGGGGTACGTCCCGTTTGGGCTAGCCCCTCATTGTAACAGTGGGTGCACTAAGCTTCGCAACCGGAGAAAGGACGAGACTAATCCCCCAACCGAAGATTTTTTAGCTTATTCTCTGGCCCCCAAAAATTTTCCAAGAAACTGGTTGAGGCAGGGTTTGATCCCTGCACCAAGCAAACCCTTGGGAGCTCAGCTGCCAACTGAGCTACGTTGGGGGTTAAAAGTTATAATGTTTTAATTCTTAACGCAGGGGATATAATTGATCCAATCCCTTATCCCCTGCATATCGTAACCTAATACATGTTAGTGCCGGGGAGCAACCCTTTTGTAAAGAAAATTGTAAAAAGCAAAAAAAAATTGTAAAAGAATAATCATTTTCAACAAAATAAAAAACAAAAAAATTATAATACAAATATAGAGAAATAGAGAAAAGAGAGTTACGTGCCTGATCACTTCTACGGTGATGTTGAGCACATTAAAATTGAGTGGATCGTCTCTTATGCTTTTGTTCTCAGTGATGCATATCATAATAATGAATATAACCAAACATGAGAGTTGAGAGAATACAAGACAATCCGTCAGGCTTTTTTTGTCTCTCTTGGCTTCATTTTCGTGGTCGGTTATAGGTAAAAGAGTAGTGTATGGTGGGAGGTACCTGATAGAGAAAGAAAAATAAAATATTAAAAATAAAAAAATTCCCGGTATTATTATTTTGAATCTATATTTTATTTAGTTAACAGGTGCCATGTTCATTTCTAGATGGTTTAATTTGCTTGATTCTTGAATGACAAATTGTTATCATGATAGTGTTGGATCTCATAAAGCAGCATGATCAAACATTCTTTTCTTTTTTTTTCATAAAAAGAAAGAAGTTCAAGATAATTTATAAAATTCATATTGCTTCTGTAGCCTCGTTTTTAAGCATGTTTTGTATATAAGGTCAATCATATCAAAGAATCCTTTTCTGATATGTCAAATCTATAGATATATTCCGGTTCCAAGTTAGTGGGAGGACCGAATTTATGCAAACACTAACCTATTCGTGACAACTCGCTATTTTAAGTTTCTTAGCATTCGAATATTCGTTTAATAACCTAACACTATATATAGTACTGTCAATTAGAACAGAATATATATATATTGCATGGGGCGGGAAAGGAAGTCATAGAAGGTAGTGGAGCACAATTATCTGGAGAAGTCTCGGGTTTGATCCAAAGAAATAAAGAATTAAGCATTCAAATATTCGCTTACCCATAGGAGAAAGATGGTATATAGAATGTCTATTATGTTATTCATTTATATAGTTCAAGATAAAAACAAGTAGTATTGATACCCAAAAAAAGAAGAAGAAAAGGGAATATTTCCTACTTTGTAATTCACTGGCCTAAGGTAAGGATCAGAAATAACTATCATATTAAAAAGTAACCGTCATCACCGATTTGCTTGAAATGATTTTATTTCTTATATATTTTCTTTCTGAATTTGCTCAAACTCTATGGGATGAGAAAATATTTTCAGTAATACGGATGTACCTACCACTTGGCTACTCATGTTGTACTGAAAATTTGGTCCTAGGACGAACATAACAAGGAGAGAAAAGACAGAAAAGATGGAGGGTCAGAGAAAGGAGGATGAGACGTCGGTTAGTTTGTGTTTTTTTTTTTTTTTTTTTGGTGAATACTAAATTCAAACGGACAGTTAGCTTGTGGCTTTTGTTAAAACGAAAAGTTGGGAAGGTGAAAAGGAAGTGGAGAGGTGGAAAATGTACCATGTTATTCTCAAGTGAGCCAAGAGGAGCTCATAACGGCGAACTATCACCAATGGGGTAAATAAGTGAATCTACTACTATGTCTCTATCCAAAAGATTAAAGATTAAGATATTGGGTTCATATCTTGTCTTTAATCAAATATTTAGTTAGCCCAAGCACAACACGAAGTCAGATAGGTCAAGGGAGCTCACGGTGGAGGACTATCTCCAATGAATTAAGCTACATCAATCGTAGAAGTGAAAATTCAAAATCTTTAAGACGTTGAATTTATAAGTCTTCTCACATTTATAGATTTCACTTTGCTAATTACCAACTAATGTGATACTTCAATACACTTGAATATCTCATCAAATATAGAGGTATTTTTGGTATTTAAGAAATAGACCGTGGTTGTACGTGTCCTAAAGGGGGAATGGATGCCCTTATTAGTGTGATGACATATTTTTATATGATTATATCAAGGGAAAAAGGTTTGTCCTTTTTAAGACATAAATTGTGTCCTTTTAATTTTCTGTAGTACATGGTTATAATATGAGAAAAAAAAAATTCACTTTTCTCAGTCACTTCAGCTAATGTGGAATGAGAAAAAAAAAACAATTTTTCATCTTATAACTATGTACTACCCGTAATAGATAGTGTACAAAATTAAAATAACACAACTTATATCCTTTTAAAGGACACACACTTAACCCTTATATTATATGGAAGATTTCAACCATTCATTCACATATTAATGGTTACAAATTAAAGGGACAAATTGTGATAATTGATCTATAACCAGGATTGAGATGTACTCAAACTCTCTCATATTAAATATTCATTTACCCTCTCATATGAAATTTTAACACGAAACAATTCATTCAGAATCACAAATATCTATGTAAGTGATAAGCTTAAAACATTTAAGATATAAAGAAAGGGTCTCTTTTTTCTCATGTTACAGGAATTTCTATAATCATTTTTTTAATTATATATTTCCAGGAGTACATAGTTATAATATTAAAGTTATTTTTTGTAACTATGTACTCCCGGGAGTACATAATTAAAAAATTGTTGTTAGTTTTCTTTTAAATATGTACTTCCGGCAATACATGGTTAAAAAACGATCGAAGGAATTCTTGCGACATGATAAACATATTTCCCATAAACAAAAGGAAGTAAAAGTAAAGTTTTCCATTAATAAATGGGGTTGGGTTTTCCATACACTATATAATCAAACTATACTCCACTCCATAGCAAACTATAATTGGTTGATTGATTATGTATATGATGCATGTCTGTCTCTCACTGGTCACACAACAGCCAAAAGAGATGGAATGGAATGGGGCTGATGCAACACGACTATATAATGTAGCAAAGAGAGTAACTTACATCATGACTACGAAGAGCACCAATATGGCTGAAGACATGGTGGAGAGATCGAAAACAGATTCACCAGCATGTCTCACGTTTGTAACTTGAAACAAAGATGCAACCAGTTTCTGATAGAGATCAAGACCCTCCATATTTTTGGAGTTCCACTCCATAGAGCAGAACGTTACAAATTGTATCAGATTGAACCCCAAGACAGTAGCAACCAGATGCCAACAATGAAAAGCTGAGAGCAAATGGTCATAACCTATCTCTTTGGAATTCTTCAGCATGTACGAGAATTCCTCTCTTCTTGTAACTTTTTTCAGAACCTTTATCACAAGCATCAAACATGGAGGGTAGAGGGTGTTACCAAGAAAGATATGTGGGAGAATAAGTAGTAGGAGGCCTGAATTCTTCTTGAAAACTATCATGTTCTCATTGGTAGGGATAAAACCGCAATTGGCAAAAGTGGAAACTACGGTAAAGAAAGAAAATGTTGGTATTTTGATGCCTTTGTTTTTCAGTACCATTCTCGCGCTCGGTATAAAGCTTAGGTACAAAGAGACCAAACTCGAACCAAGAAAATGAACCACCATAAGGTAAACTAAAACTACATATTTTAGATACCTACGAGAGTTATACCTAAGAAGCCTATTTGTATCGTTGAAGGATGCAACTGTGCCATTTGGAACATTATTATTACTATCACTCCGTTTGTGATTTTCTGACTGACGAATAGGAACTAAACCAAGCTCAATTTGATTTGCATTATTAATTGACACTCTGTTTTTGACACTCTGATTTTCGGTGAAATCGAACTTATGAAATACAAGTTCGAGCATGGAAGTAAAAACTTCACCACCAAATAACATAAGAAGGGTCAAGAGAATGAGTTGAGAATTGGAGAACACCTCCATTTCTAAGGCTGCCATGCTAGAAACTGTGGAAGCAGAAACAGAGGTGTAAAGGAGATCCAAGTCATTGAGCCTAACAGGAGTTCTAGGCTTAAAGAACTTGAGACCAAGGTAACCAAAGAGAGAAAGGATAACGAAATAAAAAAGTTGAATGAAGAAGGAGTTGAAATGGAAGGAGTGAAGACGAGACAAGAATCCACGGAAGTTGTAGTGATTGAGGAAAAAAGTATGAAGATGCTCAAGCTTTCTACCAAAGTAGGCAAAGTTCATTGTTGTTAATGGAAGGACAACCTTGACGTGGATAAGCGTCGAATGCGAAGCCACTTATAAAACATTAGGAAGGCGGTGGTATCTATTCCTCCGTACTTGTTTGCCGTATATTTTAGAGTACCATCCTAATTGAAAATATGTTCTTTTTTATATCTACGATTCTTGATGCTGAAAGTGTATAGAAGACTGATTAAATAGAAAATTAACATTTCACAATAGAGTGAGAGGAAGGTTATATTTATAATTTTTTTTAACATCGTTGATTTTCGTCAATCAATGGTTATGATTTTCGCAAATTAAACTCATTAATTAATTATTAATTCACAATAAATGATAATCGTTGATTGGCGAAAATCAACGATGTTAAGATATGATTGTAAGAGATTGTAAAAAAAAAAAAAAGTTGTAAGTATAATCTTCCTTATATAATTATCTCATTTTCAATTATAATTATCAAAATAAAAAAATTTAACTCCTATAATAAGGGTCATAAGCACCACTAATTACAAATTGATCCAAAATTCAAAAATATAAAATCCTAAAAATAAGGAAAAATTTTAACATAAATATAACCATAGTTGTCAATACAGTAGCGGGTAGCGGCGGCCGGCCGCCACAACCTGCGACGCGACGCTGGCCGGTAGCGGAGGTGGCGGCATAGCGTAGCAGTTCTCACAGGCCAGAGAAGAAGACGCTACAGGACGCTACGAGAAAAAGGGAAAGAGAAGACCTTTTTTTTTTAATTTGAAACTTCAAACAAAACGGCGTCGTTTTCCTTTGCATTGGGGGTATTTTTGTCAAGAGAAAAAGTTTATTATTAAGTCACAAATAAAGGACCCATTACCACCACATTACACGCGGGAAAGAAGAAAGAAAACGTGGCAGTGTGGCACCAAAGGAGAACGATGGAGATGGAGTAGACAGCCAAGGTGTTTTTTTTTTTCGTTTCTTCCTTCTTCCTCTCTTCTCCGGCAAGAGAGCTTCTATTTTCCGGTAAGTTCTCAACATTTTGAGGCTTCTTTGTTTCTTCCTCCTTCCACTCTTCACTACCCATTCTTCTTCTTTGATGGAGACTTCTTCTTTCTTTTTCTTTTTTACTTATTCTTTTTTGCTTATTTTTTTTGGGTACTTCTGGTTTTATTTTTACTTATTCTTTTTTGCTTATTTTTTTTTGGGTACTTCTGGTTTTATTTTATTTTTTTTTTATAACACTTCTGGTTTTATTTTTACTTATTCTTGCTTGTATTTTTTTTTTTTTTTGGTAAACTTTCTTTCTTGTATTATTTTTCTGGGTAAACTTTTTTACTTATTCTTTCTTTTATTTTTACTTATTCCCTTTTACGTTCAAATTTGCTATTGCAAGTCCCTTCCTTCCTTTTTTTTCCAGCTTGTAATATATTGTTGTGCAGCTTGTGCTATGCGTATGCCATGGTTAGGCCTACATACAAACAGCCACACAATATAATATACAATAAGTACACAAAACAATATGCATGACATATATAACTAGAGCATGGGTGGACTGATAGTTGAGCATTTATATTAGTTAAGACTGTTCTGTTAATACTTCACCGTAGCGGCAATACCGCTACCTGCTACACCGCTATACCATTTTTGGTGTCGGCCGCTACCGGCCGCTAACTGCTATTGACAACTATAAATATAACGATAACTAACTTTCCAAAAATAAATAAATAATTATATTCCATCATTCAAAATACATCCCACATCTTAAATCTCAAATCATGTCAAATGTGTTGCTTTTCTTTTTTTGACCAAACAAATCGCAATCATATTTGCGACTTTATTTGGACTTGAATTTGATTGTAATTTGGTATATTTTAAATTACTGTTTCTTTAACAATTAGGCCATATTTGTTGGGCCATAATTCTAATTGACTCCGGATTTTCTGAATCAATGGTTGAGACATATGTAATGGGCCAATTGTAAGTGCATTGTTGGCCTTGTTAAAGAGTATGCAAGATATGCTCAAGTATACGCAGCCACAAGTAATATAGGGCCTTTGAGTCCCAGTTATCGTTCCCACAAGGATCTCTGGCGTTTTTGACTTGACTAAAAATTGCAATTGCTTAAAATTGAATTTCTAACTAAAAAAAAACTATGATTATGTTTGATAAACTAAAAATAAAATAAGCATACAAAAGAATAAAAGTTTATTTGGGTTTTCTGATTTAAATTTGAAAATAATTTCTTAATGCATAAAATGAAAGAAATAAAAAAATTGAGAAAATTATTTTTGGACTTTTTGAATTGATTATGTTTTTGCAAGGATTACTAAAAATATTTACTGAATCAAAAACAAACAAATTTAACAAAGTATTAATAAATCTAATTAAAGCTGGGTTGAGTTCTGATTCCTTCCCCACAGCTAGGGGTGCTAAACGAGCCAGGGGCCTTTGGCTCGGCTCGTGAAGGCCTGAGCTTACATCTCTAAAATTGATTGTTGGACCCAGGCTTGGACTTGTATAAAAGCTCGTTTAATAAAAAAGTCTCAAGCTCCAATTCAAAAGCTCGGTCTTAGAGCCTCTCAGGCTTGCCTAATATATTTTTTATATTTTTTTAATATTTTTTATACTACTTGTGATAGCACTCTCTCTTCTCAATTCATTTCATCCCATTTTATTAATTAAACAGACTTTTTGAATGATTTTATTTTATATTATGTTGTTTGGATATACGTTAAATTTATGAATATTTATGAAATTACTAGTGTTGTTGATTGTTGATTGTTGATTGTAGATTTAGTTTGGGTAAATTTTTGTTGTCTTATTTTTTTAAAACAGACTAACAGGCTAAACCAGGCTTTTATTTTTTGTAAATGAGTCAGGCCACAGGCTGATATTATATTCGTAACAGGTAACAGGCTAAGGCCAGTCTGACACATTTGAACACAGGCTCGGCCCGTTAAGACCAAAGCTCGGCTCGGCTCGGCTCGTTAACACCTCTACCCACATCCCTTAGTGTCTAATTGCTTAACAAAATTCTTTCATAATTGTTTTTCGGTTGGCAGACTACTGTGGATTTTTAATCTCTTAAAAATCATTTTCCTTTTTGTTCCCACACAATTTATCCCTAAGCAGGTGAGACTAAGAGCTTGAAGCTCTAGTCCTTTTGGCCACATGGAGGAGTGAAAATCATCTCTGAATTACTCCCTCAAATAATCCCTTATTTGAGTCCTTGAGCTCAACTCATTTTCCAGAGAAATTTATTTTCCAATAAATTTCCCCTAAACAAACCTATTTCATATGGCCGAAATGAAATAAAATTTGAACAGGTAAATCAGAGTTGAACTAAAGAAATTAAACATTCATTCCAGAAAAGAAATCAACATCAGTCACTGTGATTGGGTCTCAGTCACTCAACCTTTAGAAAATTTAGCTCAAATCCATAAGGATTGAGCTTAACAACAGTAATGAAAGAGATACAGAGAAAATAAAATAAACAGAAAGCTAAAACCACGAGTCAAGTACTATCCACCAAAAATAGCCTTGACACGCTGCTTACATTTTACAAAACAAAACAAAATAAAAAACTATTACAATACCAGAAACGCAAAGCAAAATAAAAACAGAAACGAAAAAGAAGAAAAATACAGAAGAAGGTGAGAGTAAGAGAGTCTTACAAGCTTTTCTCCTTCCTTTTTATATCTCCTTTCTCACATGCATGGACCTTGGACTCTTCCATTTTATTCCCACATGCAAGTAATCACATGTACACTTGATTCTCTCTTGCGATGCACAGCCAAATTCCACACTCACACCACCCTAACAAATCGTAACTGCCTCCAGCTCACAAATTAGTTGGGGTATTCTTTTTATTTTGTAGAAAAGGGGTTTAGCTTGGGTCACTGTTTGGGTGAACAATTTGTATAAAAATAGCACAACAGATGGTTTTGTGGCTCAGAGTTTTAACAAAATCAAAAGGGGAAAATGGTTAGGTGAGGAGTGATTCTTGTGGGTTCAACACAATAAAGGTGGGGCTGCTGATTTGAGTGGCTGACTTAGAAGGGGAAAACAAAAGCTAGGGTTTGGTTTGCTATCAAACTAGATAAGCGTGAGGCACACACGATAGCAACCTGATCTCTATCAACAACTTAGCCCTTCATTTACATTTTTGCCCTTATGTGCAATGATGGCTTGAATTGATTTGTTGGGCTTTGGCTTCCTTGAATCTATTGTTTGGGCCACTTCTATCCTAAGCATATAGGCTTCAAAATTCTGCATAAAACATCCAAATTATTCAGCACGTGAATCTTGTATCCAAATCAGTATTTTTTTTCTTAGATTTAAAGACATCAATTAATGATTTTAAGTCTCTTTTCAGTGACTTATCATGTATCTTCTCCCCTGCTAGAAAAAGATTTGTTCTCTAATCTTCTTTATTTTCACTGATCTCAATTGCTTTAGGTAGAAGCTGAAATGACAATTCTTTCCCAATTAAATCTCCATCATCTAATTTTCCATTAGATTTGTCAAAAACTAAATAATCATCATAAATCGAAAAATCATCATAAATCGGATAATTATTGTAAATTGGATAATCATTATAAATTGGATTATCATCATAGATCGGATAATCATAATAAACTGAATTATGACCATAGACTTCAAAGTCAGGAATGCTAATTTACATCTCGATATCTTGAAAATTGGGCTGATTTCCAGTCGTACTTCCCAAATCTGTCCCTAGTTTAGAATCCTCAAGAGATTGACATCCTCCTCTTCGTCATCAGATGCGTTCTCTAATTTCAATCCTTCTTCGGATTGAATGCCCAACTTTGTCCATGCAAGTCGCCACTCCAAATGTTGGTTTTTTATGCTCTGCGCCTCCACAAGAGCTCGCTTCAAATTTTGGATATTCATGCATACTCTCCCGAGTCGTTGCTCCAAAACTTGGATTTTCTTGTCCAACGCTTGCTCAAGTTGTTGCTTCAAATCTTGGATCCGCCTTCCGAGCTCGTCATTTTCTATGTCACGCGACTCTATCTGACGCTGTTGTCTCTCTCCTTTAGGAACGAATCCACATCCCTTATCTTCACAACTCTGCCATTGATGACTTCTACGATTTTGTTCAACCATTGGTTGAAGGCAACCTAGTGCTCTGATACCACATGATGTTGAAGCAGTAATCAATTTGCTAAACAGAAAGAAAGAACGAAACAAGAATTGCAAAAAAACACTTTTCTCTTTTCTTAATTTTGTTTAACTAAAAATAGAGTTCTATGAACCTTAAATAGACAAAACAAAACAAAATAAAATGGAATCAAAAAGGAATCATGCGCAATCAAAGGAGATAACACACAATCCACACACACTCAACATAATCAAAAAATAACAAAAAAGGAAATAACTAGTAATTATTAAAAAACCATAAATAAAGAAATAAATTATGGAAAAGTCCAATCCAATCGAGTCTGCTTGGGTGCATCACATAAATGGCTGAACAGAACAATGGTGATCGAGGTCGAGGTCATGAACAACGGGGTTGAGGCGACGGCGACGGTAGAAGGCATGGTAACACCCTTAACGGCGACGGAAAACAACCACAAATAGATGTGCGAGACGCCACAGCTATAGCTGCAATGGCCGCTACAATGGCAGAACAAGGTAGACGAATTCAGGAGCTTGAACAATTGCTTGCCCAAACATAGTTGAACGAGTCAGATGAAGGAAAGAAATCTGAAAGATCATCTCATGAGGAGGAAAAGAGCGAAAACCCATTCTGGAACTGGAAAAGAAGCGATGAGGACGAAGTCAACTTGGAAATCAGTCCTTTTTTTGCTAATATTGAGGTGAAGATTGAGATCCTAGAATTCGAGGGCACCACTCATCTAGATGAGTTCATCGACTGGTTACACACCGTCGAAAGAGTTTGATATCAGAGACTTGACAGAAGACCAGAAGGTCAAACTGGTCACTATCAAACTGAGGAAGCATACCTCAATTTGGTGGGAAAATATTAAGAAGTAGTGAAACAAAGAAGAGAAGTCAAAGATCAGGAGTTGGGATAAGATGAAGAAATTGTTGCAACAAAAATTATACATATTCACTATCGGTAGGAGGCATTTGTTGAATACCATAATCTCAAATAGCGAGACCTATCAGTTGAACACTATACAATTGAGTTTGATCGTATGCGGATGCGCTGTGATATCACAGAAGAGGATGAACAATTGGTTGCTCGTTCCCTTGGAGGAATGCAGACTGAGATCTCGGATGTTGTATACCTATAACAATATTGGTCATGTGAGGACGTATGTCAACTAGCTTTGAAGGTGGAGGAGCAATGTAAAAGAAAAAGGAGTACTTCAAAATTCCAACCCAGATTTCTAACAAAGGAAAGTCATCAAGCTCAATAGCCAACACTAGTATGGCGAAGGATCCTTCTAACCCGAAACTAGCAAGCAAAGGGGTAACGACTGATGGCGGAGCTAGCAAGATAGGAACTAAAGCAAATAGGTGCTTCAAATGCCAGGGTTTAGGAAATTTCAGTACTGATTGTCTAAACCGGTAGTATGTTACTCTTGTTGATACGTCAACTGATGATATAGGTCTTACCTATGATGAGTATGAAGAAGATCATGTGGATGGGGAGTCTGAAGAAGGTGGATTATCTATGGTGTGATGTTGGAGTATCCTTGGTTGTTCGGAGGGCGCTGAGTGTTGACGTAGTTGATGATGAGTTGTGGCTCCGACATAATATATTCCACAACAAGTGCACCAGCGGTGGCAAGGTAGTATGATCATTGATGGGGGAAGTTGCGAGAATATTGTCTCTAATACCATGGTCGAGAAGTTAGGGTTGAAAACTGAGGAACACTCACAACCCTACAAGCTTTCTTGGCTGAAGAAAGGAAGTGAGGTGAAGGTGAACAAGAAGTGTCTCATGCAGCTTTCTATTGGCAAGAAATATACTGATGAGGTGTGGTGCGATGTCATTCCGATGGATGCATGTCATATCTTGTTAAGGAGACTGTGGCAATTGATAGGAAGACGTGACATGATGGCTTTAAAAACACTTATACTTTCAAGAAGGACGACTTGACTATTACTTTGGGGCCTTCTGATTTGAGGAACGAGGCAAATAATACTATGCTATCCAAAGCAGATTTATAAGAAAAAGTTGTTAATGTTATTGAGGTATTTGCTTGTGTGGTGATGGAAGAGAATTGTGGTGTTTCTGACCTTCTTTTGCAAGTTAAACCATTGTTGGAAAACTTTGCTCATGTGGTCCCTGAGGAAATGCCACCGGGACTGCCACCTATAAGAGACATCCAACATTGCATTGATTTTCTGCCGGGAATTGTTATTCCCAAAAAACAACATATAGGATGAGCCCTAAGGAGCATGAGGAGTTACACGAACAGGTGCAAGAGCTACTGAAGAAGGGTGTAGTAAGGAAGAGCATGAGTCCCTGTGCAGTACCTGCCTTGTTGGTCCCTAAGAAAGACAGATCCTGGAGGATGTGAGTCGATAGTAGGGCTGTCAATCGGATCACTATCAAGTATCATTTTCTTATACCTCGCTTTGATGACTTAATTGATCAACTTCATGGAGCAATGGTCTTCCCAAGATAGACTTGCGAAGCGGTTATCAACAAATCAGAGTTCGAGCTAGCGATAAGTGGAAGACGGCCTTTAAGACAAGGGATGAGTTATATGAGTGGATGGTTATGCCATTTGGTTGATCTAACGCGCCAAGCACATCCATGCGATTAATGAATCAGGTTTTTGACCTTTCATTGGTTCTTTTGTTGTAGTTTATTTTGATGATATCTTGATATATAGATCCTTTGTTAAGCATCACTTACTACATCTGAGGAAAGTGTTTGAGGCTTTAAGGGAACAGAAGTTGTATGCCAATATGAAGAAATGTTATTTCTTCACCAATTCTGTGACCTTTTTGGGGTATATTATTTTTGTTGATGGTATTAGGATGGATCCAGCTAAGGTTGATGCTATTACCGGATGGGAGACGCCTAAGAGCATACATAACATCCGAAGCTTTCATGGTCTAGCCTCTTTCTATAGGAGGTACATTCAGAATTTCAACACTATTATAGCAACTGTTATAGATTGTTTGAAATGAATCAGGTTTGAGTGGACTAAGGAGGCAAAAGCGATATTCCAATTACTAAAGCAGAAGGTAACTGAAGCCCCCATTCTGATGCTGCCTGATTTTTCTGATGTTTTTGAAGTGCATTGTGATGCTTCTGGAGTTGGCATAGGGGGTGTACTCAGTCAAAAGAATAAACCGATAACATTCTTCAGTAAGAAGTTGAACGAAGCCAAGAGGAAATATTCTACTTATAACAAGGAATTTTATGCAATAGTTCGAAGCTTGAAGCTTTGGTGACACTCTTCTGCACAATGAATTTGTTTTCCAACATACACAAATTAACAAGTCTAAGAAATTAGTCCCTTGAAAGACTCCAAGACTAACGAGTCGTTGGCTATAATAATAATGAAATGGCATTCAATCCGTGGCCCTCTTATATAGGCAAAAAAATAAGGAACACAGCACATTCTAGTCAGTTACACAATGTATATAGTTATCAATGTTATGTGATGCATTATTCATTTCATGGTTAATTAGAGGTATTTTCATGGTCAGGATATCTGATAATATTTTCTCATACTCATACTTTGTTTTTTTTGACAAATATTATTAATTTTGAACAACCGTACATGTTAACAACATAACAGGAACCTCAATGAAGAGTGAAGACATCCAAATACGGAGTGATTTGATAGGTCTACAGTATTTTACCAAACAACCCCTTGAGAGTTAATAAAGAACATGTTGTAGCCTCATATTAAGGTCTAAGTTTTATAACCCCCAATTATTACAAATCATCTTCCATACTCTCACATGAACTTCCTGTACGGTCGACCATTATCTTCATCTTGCATATGCTGTGACCATAAAAAAGAAATGAAATGGTTAAGTGCAAAGAAAAGCATTCATATGTTGACGGAAGAAAGTGGGAAAATAAAAGTTTATGAGAAAGATACCACGTCGTCTATGCCCTAAAATTAAAAATATATTACGACTGAAAGATGGCACATAATCAAACTGAGACCAAAGTAATTTAGGAACAGACAAAGCAGACCAAGCATGAAGCCATTCAGGAAGGTCAAATTTGGAACAGTTCAGTAACATTTGGTATGATAAATAATGTGTGAGGACACAAAATTTGAATTTAGCATTTAGCACTACTGATAGCAAGGTTTGTAAACTACTTATCAGCCATCCATGATCCATGATCCATGATCCATCTCAAACTCTAACATCACAATTTAGATATTGCAACAGATAATTCAAATAAGCATATAAAATTACTATCCGCATCTACAAACATGCATGCTCACTATTTTATAGATAGGAATACAAATATTAACTTTTTAAAAAATTGGAAATCTAACTTTAATGAAAGTCATATTATCATAGAAAAAAGGAAGAAAATTAATCCAAACCAATGCATTCACAATCCTCATCCAAGCACTCCATCACAGGTAGGAGCTCGTACATTATATAGAAGCCCAATCCTCATAATGCAACGTCATGGTGCAAATTCAAGGTCGAGATTTGTAAATCCCACTCATCCTATACCTAAAGCTATAATTAAAGCCCTACATTCTCAAGACCAGGTGAGTAGATCAATTACTATTTGCAAATAGCTAGAATCAAATAATTACCTCAACTTTACAAAAATGCATCCAAAATTTTGCCAGTAAGAAAGAATAATCTAAGGATGCAGAGTTCACCAACATTGAGTAATGACATAAAAGGGAAACATGTCAGGTCAACAACAGTATTCGATTGCACAAATACTTGCATGAGGGTATCTTCAAGTAGTAACAGAACAACAGGTTATAAGTTATAAGCAAGGGGAAAGCTGAAAATTGTTTTCTCAATCTCTCACTTTCTATCTATATAGACAAATTATTCACATTCTAATGCAAGATTTACATCCAAAGGAAGCATTGGTTTTGAAATCGTTTGTTAACGGAATTGTCTGATTAAGATTATCTATCAACACAATTGGAAGTTGAAAGTTTTGCTGTGTGAAATTCGAAGAAAATAATCATGAGGCGTTGGGGAAAGGGGAATGGGTGGGATATACAAATACCCTAAAAATGAAAATAGGGGTATTTGGGAGGAATGAAATAGCAATAGCAATTAGCAATTAGCAATTAGCAATTAGCAATAGCAATAGCATGATGGAATTGGATGTAAAAGAGAAAAGGAAAACAAAAGAAAAACTTACGAATTCTCTGACGATGCCTTTGTAGATGATGATGGGAACAGCGATACCGAAGAAGCCAACAATGGCGAGGTTGCGGCGAGTCCATCGGAAATTCAACTCAAGATTCTCTCTGGCAGTACCCCAATCCTCTATGAACTTGTTCTTGTTTGCTTCCATTCCTCCCCCCATCTTCGATTCGATTCAATCTTTCTCCGCCTGCTTTGCTGTGTGTTCTTCTGCTCTCACACTCTCACACACACTCACTTTTTCTTCTATTCCCATTTCCCACCCCACTTAGTTCTATAAATGGGCCTAGCCCACTCCATCTCCTCACCCAATCATCCAAGTTGGGCCATAACACTCTTTCTTTCCCTTTCCTTTTTCTTTTTTTCATTTTTTCTTCCTATTTCTACCTTTTCCTTCTCTTCTCTTCTCTTCTCACACACTTGCATATTCGTAGTACTTTTTTTTTTTTCATCCTAATTTTACGGAAGAAAGAAAATATAAAAAACTAATAAATATTTATTAAAACACATAATTATTTCAATTAAAATAATGGAAAAAGGTTATACTCACAATCTATTTTCGTTTACAACTTCTTACAACTATATCTTAACCGTTGATTTTCGTCAATCTACGGTTAAGATTTTCGCAAATTAAAATTATTATTAATTATTAATTCACAATAAATGACAACCGTTGATTGACGGAAATCAACGGTTAAGATATGATTGTAAGAGTTTGTAAACTATTTAGATTGTAAATATAACCCTCCCTGTTATCAAAAAAATATATATATATATATAACCCCTCCCTAAAATAATATAAAATTGTCCTATAAAATAATAAATGTGTTTTCCCATGAGATTTTATCCCACCCAAGTAAAAATATACTATTAATCAAATTTTTAAAGTCACACATCTAATTGGTTCTTAAATTCATAATTAGTTTAAGGATTTAATATTTCTCATATTTTAGAAAATAAATTTATCTCTTATACACACATAAAAGTATATGAAACTCATAAAAAAAATTTCTCTTCTCTTTATATGGGTCTAGCATATTTTTATATGTCTATAAGAGATTAGGGGTGTTCATCAACCGATCCAAACCGATTCAAACCGTGGTGACCGAACCAAAAAACCGATAATCGAATAAATCAAAAACTGAAACCGAAAAAAAATCGTAAATTTTAATTGGATTGGATCGGTTTTCGGATTAATTGATAAAAATCGATCTAATATATTAATTCTCCTCTACCTACTTGGGCATTTTCCCAATCATAATCCAAAATTTTCTAAACCTAAGACCCATTAACCTATCAACTAGACCCAAGAAAAAACCTAGTCACATCTCATCAACAAAATTTTATCTATGTAGAGCTTCATATCTCATTGCTTAAAAAAAATTATATTATCGTTTACTGATGTTTTTGTATTTCAAACAAAAAATTACAAAGTTAATATATACAAAAGATATTATTTGCACAATAATTATGAAACAAATTTTAAGATTTTTAAAAAATTGAAAACTAATCCAATGCAAACCGAAAAAAATTGGATTGGATCAGATCGAATTTGAAAAAAATCTAAACCGAATGAATGATTATATGATCAAACCAAAAAAATTGGATCGAATAATTTTTGCTTGCAAAACTGATCCAATTCAGATTATGAATACCTCTATAAGAGATGAATTTATATACTAAGAAACATTAAACCTTAGTTTAAATACACTACGACACTTGGCCTTTAACACAAACAATCATCATTCTATCTTCGGAGGTTAGCAACAGCTACCTATGTTTTTAGGGCATGCAGCCCCGCAAATAAAAAACCAAGAATGTGTCCAGCTTTACGCCTACATTGGGACCCACTTTTATTTGTATCCGGTAAGTGCGGAACTATTTTTTTCAGTTGTGCAGTGTTTTTGCATGATTTTAATTAAAGATCAAATTAATTTGATTATTTAATTAATTTGATTATTTAATTAATTTAGTTATGTATCTAATTAATTTAACTATTATTTCCTATCACATGACTTGATGGTGAAACTATTAAAAAACAAAAAGTTGTGAGGATGTGTCTTTCCACTTACTTAAAGAGTTAAACAGATAGAGGACAAAATATTTTTTTCTATCCAACCATTGAGTTATTTAAATACAATGTTTATTGTTATCAAAAAAAAAAAAAAAAAAAATACAATGTTTATGGTTTACCAAAAAAAAATACAATGTTTATGATTATAATTAATGGAGAAAAATATTCTCTATTTGTAACAATAACTGTATGTATTTCTTAAGTTGTGCATATAAAAATTATTTTAACATGTTAAATAATTTTATGGACAAAATTTTTATATAATTTTTACTTTTTCATATAATTTATTTATAATTTAGAATTATATATTAATTATATTTAGATAAAAAAAAATTAAAAAATAAACTTTATGTATGTAAATCGATCATTAATACTTAAAGCTACTTTACATATAACTTAATAATTAATAGTTAGTATTATTAATAGTGTTATTAAATATGTGTCAAAGAAATTTATTTATTTTTGGAAAGAATTTCTTAAGATAATTTTATGTATATTTATATAGATATGGATATTGTTAAAGGGTTTTATAAGAGTTATGTCGTAGGAAAAGTGATTGTGTAATGTTATAGAGATTCGTTTTGCGTGCCTTAATTTTTTGTTTATTTTTTTGTTTTAAAAAATATGAGCCCCACAAAATATTGTGAGTTTAAAAAAGTTTGTTGTGTTAGGTTAAAGGATAAAACGAAAACCAATTGTTAAATGTATATTGTTAACTGTATCGATAAAATAAAACGGAGCAACTTACCAAAAACAAAAAACAAAAAACAAAGAAAAGAGGAATTACAGGCTCATTGGTTCGCAAATGTTTGTTCATTCTCTTTGTTGCTGAGGAGATCAAATCAAACTGTGTCTTGTCTCTGCCACACAACCTACACGTGTTCGCTTTTACTCTTCACAGGATCCTCCATTCACAAGTTGGTCGTATCCATTTGTATGTTTTTCCTTAATGATAATGATAATTTTTCTGTGGATCTCGTTTTGCGTTTTGTGTTTTTCGGTTCATACATTTGTTTTCTGGAACAATGCTTGGGAGACAGAGTTTAAATGACTCAGATTTAAAAAATTAATAATAACAAATATTTATTTAAATTTTACTTTCTAGGTTTAACCTATGTTTTGAAATGAGGCTCTGCAATTTCATTTGCGTCTGATTTACCTCGTGATATATAACTCTTTACATTTGTTATAATCTTTGTGGTACTTGTTGTATAGAAATAGAATTCACCATTATCCCAATACTTATTTGTTATTTACTTTCAAACTGATATTACCTTTAGTATAATCTGCCTCTTTCCCCTTCATTTGATGATCTATAAATACTTTTCCTTTTTTGAAATGCCATGGTTTGATGTATATTTGTACTTCCCCTTCTATGATTTTTTTCAACCGCTAACAAAGTTTATTGCGTAAGGGACTGGCCTTATACTGTCTGTAATTTAATTGGAAGTAGTAGACAACTTTTCCACTTGTTTTTGCATACGAATACTAATTAGGTGTGTGTCTAAATCCTTGAGACTTGAGATTTATTTCTTTGGAAGAGTCTTTAAACTGTGCTAAAACTGTTCCTTCATGAAAGGTCATGGGTTCGAATCCAGGAAACAATCTTTTTATAATTATGCAAGGGTAAGGTTGTGTACAAGGATTTCCTCCACCCCACACTCGCTAATCAGGTTTAACTAGGAGCGATTTTTTTTTTTTTTAAGTCTTTAAACCATTTAAGGCCTGTTTTATTTTTAAAGTAATACAAACTTGGACTCTCAGCTTGGAAAAATTATAGACCAATCATGAGCCGTGCTCTTTTGGTATACCCTACCTGGTACCTGTGCTAAATCATTGTCCTTAGTCCTTACCCATCAGCATTCCAAGTTCACATATTTGTATTTTGTTGCCATGGCCATACAGCCAAGACAAACGTATGGTTGAGCTTTGTTTGGTTGAAACTAGGTCATTAAGTTGTTGCTATGCGTTAAAGGGAATGTCGCAATGACATCAAATATCTGACATCTGTCCATGACTGTGAGTTTTGAAAACAGTTAGTGGCCTTTTAGAATTAAAGGGTAAAACTTGAACCAAACCAGAAGTTAGTTATTTTCTTATGTCCTTTATCAATGTTATTCCTGAGCAGTGGGCTTTATGATGTTCATTTTTAATTTAGTTACATGCTTGGTCCCTTTGCGCTTTGAGCTGGGTATGAAAAAAGGACAAACTCTAATGCTCAAAGGCTCTCAGATTTTGTGAGGGTAGGGGGGATAAGGGTTGGTTGTACACGGTCTTACCCGTACAACATTACAAAGAAGTTTTTTCCTATACTTGAGCATGTGACTATTTTGTCAAAAAAAAAAACTGTCTTACCACTGCTCCAAGGCTTGCTTAGCTGGATATGAATCAAATAAGGGGGAAAAAAAAAAGTGAATCCGGATCCTTCTCTCCTGGGTTTTAAGATTGTACGGATTTCTGCCCTCTTTCTCTTCAAATTAAACCGGCATACTGAAAGGATTAAAATAGATATTCCAAAACAGTATTTGAATTTTGTTTAGTTTTTCTTTGTCACATGGAATCCTGTTTGAAATCAGGACTAGCTTTTAGATTGTTTTAAAGTTTGCCACCTTGTTTGCAATGGTCAAAATGGGCCAACTAAGCTATGTTTTAAACTATTCATCCTCCTTCTATTAGAGTCACGAATGTTGTACATATGTATGAACGTACACGAGAATTGCATAGCACTTAAGGGGATTAATATAGTAGTCTCAAGAAACATGACCGTTAGAATACCCTTCCTGTATTGAATTTATTCAAGAATAGTCTTTTGCCTGATTAAGAAGTTCATAAGGCTTCTCCTATAGCAACATTAAGATTTGAATTTTTTTTTTTTAAATTCCTTGAATAGTTTTTTAAATATATCAGGTGCTAGACTTCTAGAAGAAATCAGATGGATCGTGGTAAAGCTTCCCTTACCCCTGAGAATGAAATCAAGGACCTAACAGGTTCGAGTTTTCCCAGCTACAAACATAACAGTCTTCTGGATCCCGTAGAAGTTTCTTCTTCATCTTCATCTTCATCTTCAGATGATGAAAATGACCTGTCTAATGATGGCGTATCTAATCAATTAGTCCTTTATGACCCTTTGGCAAATGCAAACAACACAATCGAACTTGTCCCTGATCCTCTTCAGTGTGAACCTCTATTGCTTCCGAGAAGCAGACTTGCTAGTTCATCTCCTAGAGTTTTACCATCAGTTGGTGCTTTCACTGTTCAATGTGCATCCTGCTTTAAATGGAGGTTGATTCCAACAAAGGAAAAATATGAAGAAATACGTGAACATATCCTTGAACAGCCTTTTGTTTGTCAAAAAGCTCTTGAGTGGCGACCTGATGTATCTTGTGATGATCCAGAGGATATTTCTCAGGATGACAGCAAGATTTGGGCTATTGATAAGCCAAGCATTGCACAGCCTCCGGCTGGATGGCAGCGACTGCTACGGATCAGAGGTGAAGGAAGCACAAAGTTTGCAGATATGTATGCATGCGTTATTGATCATTCTTTTTTATGTTATTGGAATAGAAACACCCTTGTGCATGACACAATACTGCTCCCCATGCATTAATGATTTTTTTGTGCTATGAAGTTTACTCATGCAAATTCTAAAGTCAATCTTCAATTCATCTTTATTCTGACTTTTTAATATCTTAGATACTATGTAGCACCATCAGGCAAGGTACTGCGCTCAATGGTAGAGATCCAGAAGTATGTTCCTGCTGCTTCCGCTATACTATCTTTGCAATGTGACCTTCAAAGTTACCTTGCCTTTTTCTGATTTATTGTCACTACTACTGTTATTAATAATAATAAACATTGGCCTTCGATATTTCATATAATTTGCTCTTGGTGCCTCTTTGTTTTTAGGTTCTTGATGGATCATCCAGAGTATATGACTGATGAGGTAACTCTTTCACGGTTCTCATTTCAAATACCAAAGCCACTGCAAAAAAACTATGTGAGGAAGCGCCCTGCTAGACTTACAACTTCATATGAAGGCAGTGGACCTGTTGAATTCGAGCAAGGTACATATAATTTATAACAAATTATACATAGGGAATCAAATGCAAGGTTCTAAACTTGATGCTCCAGAATTGTTATGGATAAAAATTTTAGGATGGTAAAGTATAATTTATCCTTCAAAATAGTCACGTAGAGCTAGGTGTATAAATTTGTCCAATACTTTCCATATACTTTTTACCCTTACACACACTTTCTTGTTTCTATTTTATGTGAAAGACATTAACTTCTCAAATGGTTTAGAAAGCAGCAAAAAAATATCGGTCAATCTAGCACCCTCTTTTTGAATAAACATCTGAGTACTAAGGATTTTAGTGCATTGTTATAATTATGCAGTGAGTCCTCTAGCATGGGCTGGTCCAGAAGACTGTGCTAATTCACAAGGAAGACCAGAGCTTCCTGCTCCATACATGGGATCCCATGTTTTTGACCCTATCAATCATCCTGCAAAGAAGCAAGCAACTCAGAGCTCCTTCCAAAAAGATGATCAGTAGTATGAAGATTATCCTGATTAAATCTCTAAATATCCTTTTGGTTAGTCACCTCCTATATTTGTGTTGCTTTTGGGTAGATCATTGCATCTTCCTGTGTTGCATTGCAAATAGAGAAAGATTATCCTTTTGGATAAGAGAAGCAAAGTGTTGAAAATGAACTGCTACAGAAGATGAAAGATATAGCTTTTGGTAGGGCAATTATTTTGAGGTGTAATATGAGAATGCCAAATCATGCTGCGAAAGCAATGTAAAGAAGGTATTGTGATATTAGTTTCGATTGAAAAGTAATCGATTTTTATGTTGTATTTTTGGCCCAGTTGTCCTAGTTATTCAAGTCTGCTAGAATTAGTTAAGTCAGAAGATCAATATATTGGTATTCCTAATAAAATTGTATGCTATATCAGTGGAATTTTCTGCGTTTAAACTATGAAAATAAGCTTTCTAACCCAATAGGGGGCCTGCCCTGAGAGCACATCTATATGCCCTAATTCACAGTTAAAAGTAATATTCTAATCTGAAAAATATGGTGTGATTCAGGAAGAGGGTTATTCGTTTATAAGTAGACGGTGTTTGTATATAACTCAGTTAAAAGTGATAATCTAATTCGAAAAATATGGTGATTCAGCGAGAGGGTTATTTGTTAATAAGTAAAGCTTTCTGTACATATTTTTCACCCACAACAAGGAGCTGTATCCTAGAAATCATGCCATTCACGATTCCTAGTGGTGTTTGGTTTGTTTGTGTTGTTGTAAATAGTGTCATAGAAAGTCTTACGTTGTGTATATGTCTTTGTATTTCTTATTTGGTTTAATATATAAATGAAATCTCCTTCGTGTAGTTGACATAAGGATTACAATGAATACCTCTTGTATCTTGATAATTAACATGGTATCAGAGCTTAAGAGTTCGATCATCATCGCCCTCCACTTTTTGGTGGAATTAATTAAAAAAGCACAAAAAAGGTAAACCAAAAATTAGGTCTGTGTAATATCCACACTTCAAGCTCAAAGGGCTCTTGTGTGAGGGGGTGTGTCAGAGATTAATATAAATCAGTAAAAAAACCCTTACCCAACACCTTAAGGTTTTTGGTTGAAGTGGTTCTTTACATTTTTTGGAAATATTTCATCGGTTTATCGCTTCCCGACTAGTTCGATTCGGGAAAGATTGAGAATTAAGGCTTTAAACCCTCTTGGTATGGGGAGGATCATGGTGTTTGGTTTTTAAATTGTGGTGTTATGCCAATTTAAGATAGTAAACCTTATTTTGGTGTCATGACACTGGTACAGCTTAATTGGGTCACTCTTGGACAAAAATAAGCCTTATAAGGGCCACAAGGCCCAAAACATGTTGCTCTGTGTTTTGGTAGAGTAGTTCGTTTACATTTACTAGCCACGGATGGCAGATGCATAGATGAGCAAAATTACTTGTAGATTAGATAGTAAACCTTATTTTGGGATCCCTTTCTGGATCAGTTAATGGGAACTTGGAAGAGTCAAGTGTTCAATTTCTTCAAGGAGTTTCCCAGCCTGTCTTTGTGGTTGTGCCATTGTGGGATCCAAATACAATGAACTCTTTGTGGTTGTGGGATCCAAATACAACAATTCCATTGTCCTAATCATACATACCATGTGCCCTCTATTTAATGCCCTTTGGCTTATCTCCTCCCATAGGATTAGGATATGCCATTTGCATATTGTAGGGAGGAGCTTTTAATAAAGAAATTAATTTGGTAGATACCAAATAATCATTTAAAGTATTTTTTTTTCACGTGAATTTAAAATAGTTGTTTAATTTTAAATAAATTGAATAATTATTTTAAGTAATTATCTTATCCTAATTGATATTGTTATTCTTATTATTTTAGTATATAGAAGTTCATATTCTAGATATTGTCAATCTCTTGAAGCGCACTTGTTTTTACTTTTTATCCTCTATCATATCATATTATCCTTGCTACTTTGCTAGTGCATTTTGATTGACAGGCTTAATATCATATTCATATTATCTTCTCCTCTTCAATTCCTGTGCTATTGATTAAGTAACAAACACGCAAATGCCGACTTCCGAATATCCCTTTGCATTGCAATGGCATAGGATTCTCATTCTCTTTTCGTAAAAGTAACTATAACATTATAGGGAGTGGATCCTCTCGTGTAATTAACGTAACCATGTCATGTGAGGCAATCATAATTATATATGAGTGAGTTAATGGTAATAAGGGAGGAGAGGAAAAAAAATAAAAGGATAGGAAGTTATACAATCATCACCGTTGATTTAATTATTAATGATTAAGATTCTCCCACATGACATGATCATGTTAAATTACACATGAGAGGATTCATTTCCAACCTTATATCCTTCAAAGTTTTCAAGAATGTTAATTTTAATAGTCTAGATGGTAAACGTAATCTATAAAGTGTAATTGTATTTTACAGAAAGAGGATAAACAAACTAAAGTGTTTTTTAATTAGAATATCCTTCCGTATTCTAACTCTTGTTTAAATCACATGTTTGAGTTTTCAAGAAACAGTAAATAAAATAAGGGTACGGTGTTTGTCATTCTAAATGATATAAGTTATATCATTTTAAAAGAGAGATAGACACAAGAAATAAAAATCATGGGAGAGAAAGTGAGTGGTTTTTTGTAATTTAGTTTTAAATAAAAAAAAATATTTTTTTGTGTTTATCTCTCTCTTAAAATGACATAACTTTACGTTATTTAAAATGACAAACATTTTTCTTATAAAATAGATGTTTGAAATATTTTCTATTATACATAATACAAAATATCATTCCAGATTAAATCGAGATAATATGTTTTTTTTAATATATTAGTTTCGTCAAATATTATTTTGTTCAATTTCACGTTGAAAAACTATAATTTAGAAAATTATATTCAAAAAGTTAGTTTAAGAACATTAGACACTTAATAATATTCAAAGATGTATTCAAATATATATATATATATATATATATATATATATATATATATATATATATATTCAAAGATTGCACGATGATGAGAGGTTTGAATAATTTTTTTTTTTTATAAATTATTTAAACTCTCACCGCTTTTTGTAAAATTCTCGACCTTTTCTTATCTGTAGCACTCATCCTTTATTTAAAATAAAAAAATTAAAAAAACGATGAAAACGATGAAAACGGTACATCATAGTCATAGATCAGTCTAAAAGTGAGAAAAAGAAAATGATGAAAACGATTAAACCTATCTAACAAATGTGGTCGAATGGATGATAGAGGAAAGTCCACGGCGAATGAAACTTGGGCGTTTCAAATTGTGGTGAGTTTGCAAGATTTCAATAATTTATACGAGAAAAATTATATTTATAAATTATATTATATATTAGAGATAGTATATTCTAACACATAATATATTATCTCTAGCTAGTACATAGTATAATTTGTTAGAATTTATAAAAAAAATATTTATAAATATAACTCTTCTCATTGACACATTTCTCAAATTGGGATCAATTTCATATTTATGCAAATTTCTTTTCTTATTTAGATTATGGAAATAACATTTCTGCTTTTAAAACAGAGAAATTGTAAAGAGAGAACAAAGATTAATGAGAGAAAAATGGGATGGTGCCCACTTCATTTTTGTCTCTAGAGAAATTATCTCATTAAAAGCAGAGATATTCTTCCCTTATATTATAGGGATATCGATAAACCTAGCTTGCTCTGGAAGGTAATTAGCATCATGAAATAAAAAAGAATATATTCACTTATTATATTTATTGTTTTGGTAAGCAAAAAGAGGTGCAACACCAGGACTCTTCCCAAAATGTCACTCATTCTAGTACTACTCTCGTCCTAACACGCTCACTTATTATATTAAATAATAAATATGATAGCTTATATAATCATTTTCGTAATTAAATTTATTAACTAAAATATTAAAATCATATTGATTGTGTAAGAAATTGTACACAAGAATTATGTCAGAATTACACGGAATAAATATTTTTCTCTGTTATGTTTTAAATGCAATTTTTTATGTTTTTGTTAAAAAATATTGGTTGAAAAAGTACTCTTTTATAATATTTTATGAGCAAAATAATTAGATTATAATTTTTTACACATGGGATTTGGTGTGTTAAAAAATAAGTTCAAGATATATTTTTATATACAACTATATCTTTATCTGAAAGTAAAAAATCATAAACTTTAATGGTAATAAGAGAATAGAGAAAAAAATATTAAAATAAGAAGTTATAAAATTATTACTGTTAATTTGTTCATTAACGATTAAAATCTCTCCACAAGACATGATCATATTAAAAAATAAAGAAATGATCCATTTTCTTACTTCATTCTTTTTTATTCTCGCACCAAACTCTTTATTGGTCTCAATTGTTGGTAAAAATGAGAACACAAAAGTTTGAACTTTAATCAAATTCCTCCTTACTAATTTAGTAACTTCTCTTGGCTATAATATCTAATGCAATGCGCTTTCAATTCGAAATTTGAAAATTTATAAGCATAAGTTAATAAAAAAACATTACGTGCACTTAAAAATATAAAACAATTATTATAACGAAATAAGAAAATTTAAAAATATATTTATACATTTTTGTAATGAAAAATTAAGAAGATAATTTAAGCTACTTTATTTCAAGTTCAAAATATTGTACCGAAATTGCTACCAATGAGAATCGAATTTTAGCCTTTTTAAAACTATATGTACTAGCTCAACTAATAAACATTGGAGTGTGTGGAGTATATATATATATATATATATATGAGGTAGGATCCTTTGACACCGGTGTCAAATTTTAATTTTGACACCTCATCTAAGAGCTGTTAGATCAAAAAATATCAACGACTCTGATTTGCAAGCATGTGACACCATTGATCTTTTTTTATCTAACGGCTCTCATATGATATGTCAAAATTGAAATTTGACACCGATGTCAAAAGATCCTACCTCTATATATATATGCAAAATTATTTCTGCAGCCATGCATGGCTGCACATATAATAAGCCAGAATATGGTTTCTAATTCTAAAATACGATTATGTATCTGGCAATTTTTTTAAAAAAAAAAAACAATAGACCCACTTTTTATATCAGCTGCAGATAGCAGCTCTTTAAGGCAGCTAGAAGTGTCCTTATATATATGGGAAAATTTCAAAAAACCCCTTACAAGTTTCTTCAAAATCACTTAACTGTTAGTATATGAATGTCCTAGAGACAATCTTTTGATTAGATTAGGACATATGTGTACCTTTTATATTGTCGCAAATAAATCATAAGCATTCTTTATCCTGTTTCATATTTTGTC